TTGGCAGAGAGCATGCATAGTTCCTTTGTATAAAGGCAAAGGGGATAAAAGAGAGTGCAAAAATTATAGGGGGATAAGTCTGTTGAGTGTACCTGTAAAGTGTATGGTAGAGTTATAATTGAAAGAATTAAGAGTAAGACGGAGAATAGGATAGCAGATGAACAAGGAGGCTTTAGGAAAGGTAGGGGGTGTGTGGACCAGGTGTTTACAGTGAAACATATAAGTGAACAGTATTTAGATAAGGCTAAAGAGGTCTTTGTGGCATTTATGGATTTGGAAAAGGCGTATGACAGGGTGGATAGGGGGGCAATGTGGCAGATGTTGCAAGTGTATGGTGTAGGAGGTAGGTTACTGAAAGCAGTGAAGAGTTTTTACGAGGATAGTGAGGCTCAAGTTAGAGTATGTAGGAAAGAGGGAAATTTTTTCCCAGTAAAAGTAGGCCTTAGACAAGGATGTGTGATGTCACCGTGGTTGTTTAATATATTTATAGATGGGGTTGTAAGAGAAGTAAATGCGAGGGTCTTGGCAAGAGGCGTGGAGTTAAAAGATAAAGAATCACACACAAAGTGGGAGTTGTCACAGCTGCTCTTTGCTGATGACACTGTGCTCTTGGGAGATTCTGAAGAGAAGTTGCAGAGATTGGTGGATGAATTTGGTAGGGTTTGCAAAAGAAGAAAATTAAAGGTGAATACAGGAAAGAGTAAGGTTATGAGGATAACAAAAAGATTAGGTGATGAAAGATTGAATATCAGATTGGAGGGAGAGAGTATGGAGGAGGTGAACGTATTCAGATATTTGGGAGTGGACGTGTCAGCGGATGGGTCTATGAAAGATGAGGTGAATCATAGAATTGATGAGGGAAAAAGAGTGAGTGGTGCACTTAGGAGTCTGTGGAGACAAAGAACTTTGTCCTTGGAGGCAAAGAGGGGAATGTATGAGAGTATAGTTTTACCAACGCTCTTATATGGGTGTGAAGCGTGGGTGATGAATGTTGCAGCGAGGAGAAGGCTGGAGGCAGTGGAGATGTCATGTCTGAGGGCAATGTGTGGTGTGAATATAATGCAGAGAATTCGTAGTTTGGAAGTTAGGAGGAGGTGCGGGATTACCAAAACTGTTGTCCAGAGGGCTGAGGAAGGGTTGTTGAGGTGGTTCGGACATGTAGAGAGAATGGAGCGAAACAGAATGACTTCAAGAGTGTATCAGTCTGTAGTGGAAGGAAGGCGGGGTAGGGGTCGGCCTAGGAAGGGTTGGAGGGAGGGGGTAAAGGAGGTTTTGTGTGCGAGGGGCTTGGACTTCCAGCAGGCATGCTTGAGCGTGTTTGATAGGAGTGAATGGAGACAAATGGTTTTTAATACTTGACGTGCTGTTGGAGTGTGAGCAAAGTAACATTTATGAAGGGATTCAGGGAAACCGGCAGGCCGGACTTGAGTCCTGGAGATGGGAAGTACAGTGCCTGCACTCTGAAGGAGGGGTGTTAATGTTGCAGTTTAAAAACTGTAGTGTAAAGCACCCTTCTGGCAAGACAGTGATGGAGTGAATGATGGTGAAAGTTTTTCTTTTTCGGGCCACCCTGCCTTGGTGGGAATCGGCCGGTGTGATAAAAAAAAAAAAAAAAAAAAAAATTAGGCAGACTGTTAAACTGCCAACTTAAGTGGCTAACATCATCGTTAACACATTTGCATAAAGTAGCCTTAATTAATGCAGTCACCATGACTACCATCACAACAGTAAAAGTGAGACACTGAATCTAAAGTAAGAGTATGCATAATTCCATGTGGAAGATGTGAAGTTAAATGTGGGAGAAACCTCTAGAAGCCTGGAGTATATGTGACAATACTGGTACACATGTAGTAGGAAGGACTAGAACACTGTCTATGTACTGCCAAGATGACGACTTTCATCAAATTGACCATGAATTTTAATGATATGTCTTAACTCTTTATCAGCAAAGAGGAGCTACTCAAACAGCATTGTCTGGAAACTGTGATGTCTGTAACCATCAACATTGCCTCCCAGAATGCTGCCAGATTCATTATTTTGGAAGTTTTGAGTTCTGACTAAATTAATTCTACCCCACCAAGACACTTGATTAGACGAGTAGTGGTTTGACTCTTCTTGACTACTATATTGTATATACCTTGCATAGTCTGTCTTTTTAATTTTAGCCCTTTCAGGGTCCAAACCCCTGATCCGAAACTTGTCCAGTGCCCAAGGATTTAAAAAAATTTTTTTTTTTGTTATTTTTTCTTGTGAAATGGTAGAGAATCTTTTTCTGAAGGTAATAAAACAAAAAGTACGAAATTTGATGGAAAATTGATGAAATTACGCTCACGGATTTTGCTGTGTCAGCGATGTTTACACATTGGCGATTTTGCCCACTTTTGATTCCCATTTTAGGCCAATTACATTATTCCAGTCGACCAAATTCTTTGCGGTTTCCCTAGTATAACTTCTATTTTATCAATTGGGCACAAGAAATCACCCAATCAACAATTTCAACTACCCAATAGTGATTGGAAATTGGTAATTTGGCCAATTCACACAAATTTCAAAATATTTGTTTCAAAATAGGGTCCAGAATAAACAATGCAAGCATTCCTGGCACCAAAATAATATTTCCTCTGTTTATTAGTTATGTTTTCAGGCTTTACAAATGAATTCCACTTTTATTTTTTATTCACATAATGAATTTTTATTCACACCAAAAAATAGAAGATTACTGTTATTGTAATAATTGTATAAATAATATCAGCGTATCTGTAAATGCACATTAGACCCACCAGCTGACGTGTATTGGACGCATGATGTCGTTTGTTTACTCTTGAACATCAGCAAAAATCGAACATTTCCGCTGCTTTGAGCTCAGTTTCAAGCCATTTTCAGTCCTAAAACCAATCAAAAATCATATCTGTTTCTCTAATATATCTTCCATTCTATAAATGAGACCAAGAAACTGTGAATACAACTGTAAAAAACATACGAAAACACACCACAAAATCGGTGCACATTTACCACATAGATGCATTCTTTCATATCTAGGCCCAAATTTACCGCTCACAGCTTATCTGAGTGAGCTGAGCTCATGGCGCAGAAGTACGGCTTGGACCCAGGCTTCAAAGCCGTAGAACTACAGGACAGACCCCTCAAAGTTAATTACTGGGAAGTGCTAAACCCATAAGAGTCATACAGTGCCTGAGAGCATTTAGGTTTGATCCAAAGAAGGGTAGGGTAAGTTGGGTTCCTTGAATCAAGAGCCCCTCACCAGTATCAAGATATGTCTCCCTTGAAAAGACTGAAAAAAAAAAATCCCAAGAGTGTATCCCAGCACTAAATGTTAATACAGGTCTCCCTCAACATTCGCGAGGGTTAGGGGATCAAGAGCCTTGCGAATGTTGAAAAACCGTGAATGTTTGGTGCCCCAATATATTGTAGGGAAATATATTACAATACTGCTTCCTTAACTTGTTGAACCATGAATAATCATAAAATACATGAAAACGTCGTAAATTGTACTAAATATATACATGTTATGCTTTAATAACGTATGTTATTTAATAACATGTTAATAACATGTATGTTATTAAATACCACAGACCACCACTGCCTCCACCAATGCCTCCACCACTGCCTCCACCAATGCCTCCACCACTGCGAGTCCCTACTACACTCCCTCCGACCCCCGCAACTGGCAGCCAGCCCTCCCACCACTCAGTGTGGTGAGTGTTTTGTTTGTTCATTATTTGCTATTAAACTACAGTATAAATAATGTAAACCCATTCATGACTGCATATTGGAATGGCTATTAGGAAAGGTATTAGACGGTGACATCATGTGTTTACTCTTGAACACTGCAAAGAATCGAACATTTCTGCTATTGCTAATAATAACAATAGTAATAATAATAATAATAACATAGTAATAATAATAATATAATAATAATATAATAACAATGTAATAATAATAATATAATAATAATAATAAAATAAAATACGATATAATTGAAGAAGGAAATTGTACAAAAATACGAGGGAGTGGTTGACACATCGTCAGTGTGACTTTGTTTATGCTGGAGTGAGCATTAGTCTCCCTGCTCTTCCAAACATTTCACAATAATTCAGTTGAAGCAGTGGTATTTAATAACATATATGTTATAAATAATAATAGTACATGTTATTATTAATAACATGTATTATTATTAACATGTATGTATTTAATAACATATATGCTATAAATAATAATAATACATATTATTAATAACATGTATTATTATTATTAACATGTATGTTATTAAATACCATTGCCTCAATCACTGCCTCTACCACTCCAGTCACACTCAATCTACAAGCACCAAACACAATGAATTATTGTGAGAGGTTTGGAAGAGCAGGGAGACTAATGCTCACTCCAGCATAAACAAAGTCACACTGACGATGTGTCAACCACTCCCTCATATTTTTGTACAATTTCCTTTTTCAATTATATCATATTTATTATTATTATTATTATTACTATTATTACTATTGTTATTATTAGCTGTAGCAGAAATGTTTAATTCTTTGCAGTGTTCAAGAGTAAACACATGTCACCGTCTAATACCTTTCCTAATAGCCATTCCAATATCCAGTCATGGATGGGTTTACATTATTTTACTCTAGTTTAATAGCAAATAATGAACAAACAAAACACTCACCACACAGTGGTGGGAGGGCTGGCTGCCAGTTGTGGGGGTCGGAGGGAGAGTAGTAGGGACTCGCAGGTGGCGGGAAACTTAAATATGATTTGGCGGCTGGGAATTTGGTGGCTGGGAATTCGCAAATGTGTGAAGCCCGTGAAAGTTGAAAACGTGAATGTTGAGGGAGACCTGTACATCACACTTGTCAATATCGGCTAACATTTCTTGCCTTATACTGTTAATGTTTAGATTTTTAGCTTCTGGCTGTTCTAATTAAGTTGACAATAATGGCAACTTAAACTGAGGATAGTACATCAATTATTCACTGTAAGAGATTACATACTTTATTGTAAAACCCTTAACTGAACAGTTCAACAGTACGTACTTAAATATTAATAATAGACAATGATGGATAAATAGCCAAACCACTGTTGATAATAGTAATGAATTACAAAAAAATAGTAAAAATTTAGCTTTATAAAATGCTGAATGACCTTCGTGAGTTTAAGGCTTTTCTTGGATAATAATTAGTGAATCTGGTTTAGTGGATCCTGATGAATATATTAATACTGTAATTCCCAGTAGTGAGTGCCTTTGAGTGGTAATAACAATCTTCAACTTTACATAAATATATTATACTATTCTAATAATAATCTGTCAATATTTCATAACCATCTTCTGTAATAAGAACTGTGTGTTCAAACTGGGCAGCTCGTCCATTGTCTAACATGACTGCAGTCCACCCGTCTTCCAAAATAAGTACATCTTCCTTACCCTGAGCTATGATGGGTTCAACAGTAAATGTCATCCCTGCCTCCATGCATCCTGGATAAGTATTATCTGTCACATAAAGAGCAAAAGTAAACATAAGGTACTAATAGTACTTGGATTATTTAGGAATTATAAAGCAAACAGATTTAGTGCTCTTTGTATCATGCAGAGGATTCAGAGTGTATAAATTAAAAGGTGATGTATGGTCCCCCAGTGTATAATACAGTGGGCTGAGGAGGGGCTGTTGAGGTGGTGTGGGCATGTAGAGGATGGAGAAGGATACAATGATGAAGAGGGCACATAAATATGAGGGGAGGGGGGGGGGGTTGGTGTCATTCCAGGAATGGATGGAGAGTAAAAGTGACTTTCATTTTTAGGGACTTCAGCATCCAGCAGGTTTGTATGAGCATATTAGACAGGAGTGAAAGGCGACAAGTGGTTTTTAACGGATGTGCTGTTGTAGTGTAAGCAAAGTAACCTTTGTAAAGGGATTTGGGTAAACCAGTTAGCTGGACTTGAGTCCTGAAAGTGAAAAGGGCAGTACCTACACTCTGAAAGGAGTGGGGATGTTGCAGTTGAGAAGATAATTTGAACTGTGATGTCAGCACACTTCTGGCAAGACAGTGACCAAATGAAATGATGATGAATATGTTTTCTTCTTTGGGTCATCCTGCCTTGGCAGGAGATGGCCACTGAGGTAAAAGATAAAACCCAGCTGTTTCCCACCAAGGTATGGTAACCCCCTCTCCCTCCTTCCCAAAATAAAACAGCATTCACCATAATTCCTTCTTGCCACAAGTGTATAGGCATCATAATTTATATAACCCTCTAAACTGCAACATTACTCTTCCTTCACAGTGCAGGCACTATACTTCCCACCTCCAAGGCTTATAGTTAAGCTATTCAGTTGTCTTGAATCTTTCATATACAGGAAGGCCCCACTTTAAGGTGCTTCGCTTTACAGCAATTCAGTAATAGGAACATTTCAAATTATAATGACAAATTTGTTTATAGAGCTCCCTGATTCGCTATTACGGCATCCGCGTACCACTCTGTTTATTTACATCTTCCGTGAGCTCTGGGTTTATCGATTATGTCTGGAAACATTCCAAAATTTCAAGTACGTACTTTAAAGTTATTGCGTATTTATATATATACATGTACACTGATAATTGTACTTATGTGTACCTGTACCTAAATAAACTTACATACTTTGCTGGGGTGTAGTTACACATTTAAATCACTAAGAGTGTATCACTAGTGTTCAAGATGCAAAAATAATAATAATCATTCTGGGACACTTTAACCCTTTGACTGTCACAAGCCCCTTTCTGAAACTGTCATTCTATTTCGCAAAATTTTTGGAAAAAAAAAAATTATTTTTTTCTTATGAAATGACAGAGAATCTTTTCCCGATGGTAATGCCATCAAAAGTACGAAATTTGGTCGAAAACTCACGGAATTACGCGAAGTTGGCGGTCTCGGTGATTTCGCCGAATTTGAGCCGTGGTTTTGGCCAATTCCGTAGTTCCAGTTGACCAAACTCGTAGCTATTTCTTCAGAACTCCATTTTTTCTATCAGTTGAGTACAAGAAACTGCCCATTTATCAATTTGAACTACCCAATAAAGTGGTCAGAAATTGGTAATTTGGCCAATTTCATGCAAATTAAAAAAGATGCCAATTTCAAAATAGGGTCCAGAATAAACAATGTAGACATTCTTGGCACTAAAATAACATATCCTCTGTTCATTAGTCACATCTCTAGGCCCCTCTTATATTACTATTGCTTTTTATTTGATTTTTTATTCATACAAAAAATACAAAATTTACTGTTACGCAGACTACTGCATTATTATAAAAATGGTATAAATAACATCAGTGCACTAGTGGAAGAATATTAGACTCCCCAGTTGACGTGTATTGGACATGTGGTGTGATTTGCTTACTCCTGAACATGGTAAAAATCGAACATTTCTGCTAATTTGAGCTCAATTTCAAGGTCGTTTTCATAGTGAAACTAATCAAAATAATCTCTATTTTTGTAATATGTTTTCCATTTTATCACGTGAGACCATGAAAATGAGAATACAACAATAAATACTATACGAAAATACACCTCAAAGTCGGCGTTTTAATCCAAAAAAACGGTCAGTTTTTTTTCTAACCATACCCCGGCCGGGATTGAACCCGCGGTCATAGAGTCTCAAAACTCCAGCCCGTCGTGTTAGCCACTAGACCAGCTAGCCACAATAAGATTCGTCCAACTAGGTATGTTTCTACACCATAGGAAGGTTAGCACAGGTACCACTGTGACCACAAATGCAAGTTTTTACAGACGAATCTCCAGCTAGCGTGGCCGTGACGAATTCTAGCTCAAGTCCCTTCACTGCTGTCAACATGACTCACGAAATCGTAATGACACGATTGCAAACAAACCATACGCCGGCCGGGATTGAACCCGCGGTCATAGAGTCTCAAAGCTCCAGCCCGTCACGTTAGCCACTAGACCAGCTAGCCACAATAAGATTCGTCCAACTAGGTATATTTCTACACCATAGGAAGGTTAGCACAGGCACCACTGTGACCACAAATGCAAGTTTTTACAGACGAATCTCCAGCTAGCGTGGCCGTGACGAACTCTAGCTCAAGTCCCTTCACTGCCATCAACATGACTCACGAAATCGTAAGGACACGATTGCAAACAAACCATACCCCGGCCGGGATTGAACCCACGGTCATAGAGTCTCAAAACGTCAGCCCATTGCGTTAGCCACTAGACCAGCTAGCCACAATAAGATTCGTCCAACCAGGTATATTTCTACACCATAGGAAGGTTAGCACAGGCACCACTGTGACCACAAATGGAAGTTTTTACAGACGAATCTTATTGTGGCTAGCTGGTCTAGTGGCTAACGCGACGGGCTGGAGTTTTGAGACTCTATGACCGCGGGTTCAATCCCGGCCGGGGTATGGTTTGTTTGCAATCGTGTCATTACGATTTCATGAGTCATGTTGACGGCAGTGAAGGGACTTGAGCTAGAGTTCATCACGGCCACGCTAGCTGGAGATTCGTCTGTAAAAACTTGCATTTGTGGTCACAGTGGTGCCTGTGCTAACCTTCCTATGGTGTAGAAATATACCTAGTTGGACGAATCTTATTGTGGCTAGCTGGTCTAGTGGCTAACACGACGGGCTGGAGTTTTGAGACTCTATGACCGCGGGTTCAATCCCGGCCGGGGTATGGTTTGTTTGCAATCGTGTCATTACAAATTTTTTTTCTCATTATGCACTGCGTGCTGCAGGATTTTTTTTATGTGGTGTACCCTGGCCACACAGACCCATTCTCTTACATGTGGGCCTACCAGCTTTCTCCCGCTTGATTTGAAGCCGCTAGAATGTTTAGGCGTATTAATACGTCGGAAACATTGGCTCATAAGACGATATTTATACGACCGAAACAGTCAAAGGGTTAAATGTAGCATATTACATTATTATTATAGGCAGTTTCATTAGTTCATCTATGATATTTTTTCAAAATTATATACGAAACACACTACCTATCATATAAACATACTGTTGAAATATGAGATGTGGTTACCAGGTGGCTTGCAGTTGTGATGGCAAGAATTCGTTTTCTCTAGTCTAACACCAGAGAAGCTGTGTAGAGTATAGTATTAGTGGGGTAACTGTAGAAAAATACTCCTTTCATGTGCCTTAACTCATAGTGTCATTCGCTCTAAAAATGGTGTGTTGATTGAGTATGGGAGTGTTGCTGTTATTTATTCTACTGCACCAATGTGAAGACAACTTGGGCACAATATAAGGTGTTTGTATTGTGGGGAAAAAGTTTTATAAATGCATGATTTATGCGAAATGAATGAGTATGAACTGCATTCATCTGACCGCCCACCTCCCGTTTGTTTACATTCACCGTGTCTCTCATTCTCTCTCATTTGATGATGGAATTTATTTATTTATTTAATTATTTATTTATGTTTTTGCAAATAGTACATTGAGATTATGTATTTACAATAATGGGTTGCAATGCAAAGAGAGTCTCTATTATGCCTAGGCATTATGGGCCGACTTAACATTATTGGGTTACAGACTACTTAACACTAAGAATTATATCATAGTTGTACAGTAGAATATTAATTATATCATAGTTGTACAGTAGATTATTAATTATAAGTGAATCTAATTTATATAAGACAAAAGATATATTCATATATTAAAAAATGCTTTTTGTGAAAACAATGATTCAATCACATTCCTGTCGACAATGGATAAAAGATTCAAAAGTAATTGCTGAAATTATGATCTAAGGGTAGTTGTGATAAAAAGGAGTCATGAGCCTCTTACTTTAAATGCCAAGTTAGAAATGACTAAACTTAGTGAACAAGGTGTCACTGGCAATAAGCATCATCATCATAATAATAATAATAATAATAATAATAATAATAATAAATAATAATAATAATAATCCCTCTGGGGTGCTTTAAATTTTTTCTCAAAATTTTATAAGAAATACGCTACATATCACATAAAAAAATGCATACAATCATAGAAAAACAAATGAACATAATTGTGAAGTGTGGTAGCTGGGTGGGCTACCACCCCTGTCACTCTACATTAAGACTACAAATATTTTAAAGTAATGAGTGTACTGTTCTCCATGGGGAAGTGGAACAGAATTCTTCCTCCGTAAGCCATGCATGTTGTAAGAGGCAATTAAAATGCCGGGAGCAAGGAGCTAGTAACCCCTTCTCCTGTATACAATACTAAAGTTAAAAAGAGAAACTTTTGTATTTCTTTTTGGGCCACCCTGCTTTGGTGGGATATGGCCGGTTTACACAAATAACCCGCACATAGAAGAGAGGAGCTTACGACGACGTTTCGGTCCAACCTGGACTTTGTAAATGGTCCAAGTTGGACCGAAGCATCATCGTAAACTCCTCTCTTCTATGTGCAGGTTATTTGTGTATCATTCCAGTCATGGTATTGTGCCTTTTTTTTTTGTTATTTATGGCCAGTTTGTTGAAAGAAGAAGAGTATACTGTATGTCCAGTTTACTTTTTCATTTTTTTTTCTGCCTAGTTCTGTTGCTAACTTAATACTATATATGAGTGTGAACACATGTTATTAGGCATTTAAAAGGGTGTTTCACTCCACAGCCATTTTCACTTTATGGCAGTAGCCTGGAACCTAATCCACCGTACAAGTGGGGCCCTCCTGTGTGTTACCCTGATCACATGCCCACAACACACTGAATCCTTGAAAGCACCTGTCTCCATTCTAATCTAACATGCTTATACATGCCTGATGGTACTCAAACCATTTAAATTATTATAAAATAAATATAAGAGAAAAGGATACAGTAACAGAAAATACTCACAACAATGATATATATCTGGTGGCCCATGGAAGTACTCCCCAATACCATGACCAATGAAGCATGGCACTACAGTTACTCCTAACTGATCAGCAACCTCTTGTACCTTAGCACCTGAAAGACCACAAGTTAATTGTGTATCAGTTAATAAAATTCTTTATTATCTTATTAATACATCGGCTGATTCTCACCAAGGCAGTGTGGCCTGAAAAAGAAAAACTTTCATCATTATTCACTCCATCACTGTCTTGCCAGAGGCGTGCTTACACTACAGTTATAAAACTGCAACATTAACTCCCCTCCTTCAGAGTGCAGGCACTGTACTTCCCATCTCTAGGACTCAACTCTGGCCTGCCAGTTTCCCTGAATCCTTTCATAAATGTTACTCCAACAGCACATCAAGTATTAAAAACATTTGTCTCCATTCACTCCTATCAAATATGCTCATGCATGCTTGCTGGAAGCCCCTCACACACAAAACCTCCTTTACCCACTCCCTCCAACCTTTCCTAGGTTGACTCCTACCCCGCCTTCCCTCCACTACAGATTTATACACTCTTGAAGTCATTCTATTTTGTTCCACCCTCTCTACATGTCCGAACCACCTCAACAACCCTTCCTCAGCCCTCTGGATAATAGTTTTGGTAATCCCACACCTCCTCCTAATTTCCAAATTATGAATTCTCTGCATTATATTCACACCACACATTGCCCTCAGACATGACATCTCCACTGCCTCCAGCCTTCTCCTTGTTGCAATATGTTAATAAATTTTTTTTTTTTTTTCAAGAAGTCGGCCGTCTCCCACCGAGGCAGGGTGACCCAAAAAAGAAAGAAAATCACCAAAAAGAAAATACTTTCATCATCATTCAACACTTTCACCACACTCACACATTATCACTGCTTTTGCAGAGGTGCTCAGAATACAACAGTTTAGAAGCATATACGTATACAGATACACAACATATCCCTCCAAACTGCCAATATCCCAAACCCCTCCTTTAAAGTGCAGGCATTGTACTTCCCATTTCCAGGACTCAAGTCCGACTATATGAAAATAACCGGTTTCCCTGAATCCCTTCACTAAATATTACCCTGCTCACACTCCAACAGATCGTCAGGTCCCAAGTATCATTCGTCTCCATTCACTCCTATCTAACACGCTCATGCACGCTTGCTGGAAGTCCAAGCCCCTCGCCCACAAAACCTCCTTTACCCCCTCTTTCCAACCCTTTCGAGGACGACCCCTACCCCTCCTTCCTTCCCCTATAGATTTATATGCTTTCCATGTCATTCTACTTTGATCCATTCTCTCTAAATGACCAAACCACCTCAACAACCCCTCTTCTGCCCTCTGACTAATGCTTTTATTAACTCCACACCTTCTCCTAATTTCCACACTCCGAATTTTCTCATAATATTTACACCACACATTGCCCTTAGAACAGGACATCTCCACTGCCTCCAACTGTCTCCTCGCTGCAGCATTTACCACCCAAGCTTCACACCCATATAAGAGTGTTGTTACTACTATACTTTCATACATTCCCTTCTTTGCCTCCATAGATAACATTTTTTGACTCCACATATACCTCAACGCACCACTCACCTTTTTTCCTCATCAATTCTATGATTAACCTCATCCTTCATAAATCCATCCGCCGACACATCAACTCCCAAGTATCTGAAAACATTCACTTCTTCCATACTCCTCCTCCCCAATTTGATATCCAATTTTTCTTTATCTAAGTCATTTGATACCCTCATCACCTTATCTCTTTTCTATGTTCACTTTCAACTTTCTACCTTTACACACATTCTCAAACTCATCCACTAACCTTTGCAATTTTTCTTTAGAATCTCCCATAAGCACAGTATCATCAGCAAAAAGTAACTGTGTCAATTCCATTTTGAATTTGATTCCCCATAATTTAATCCCACCCTCTCCCGAACACCCTAGCATTTACTTCTTTACAACCCCATCTATAAATATATTAAACAACCATGGTGACATTACACATCCCTGTCTAAGACCTACTTTTACCGGGAAGTATTCTCCCTCTCTTCTACACACCCTAACCTGAGCCTCACTATCCTCATAAAAGCTCTTTACAGCATTTAGTAACTTACCACCTATTCCAAATACTTGCAACATCTGCCACATTGCTCCTCTATCCACTCTATCATATCTTTTTCTAAATCCATAAAATGCAATAAAAACTTCCCTACCTTTATCTAAATACTTGTTCACATTTAGTTCTATGTAAACACTTAATCTCACATCCCCTACCCACTCTGAAGCCTCCCTGCTCATCCGCAATCCTACATTCTGTCTTACCTTAATTCTTTCAATTATAACCCTACCATATACTTTCCTGGTATTTCTCAGTAAATTATTCCTTCATAATTTTTTACAATCTCCTTTTGTCCCTTTTCCCTTTATATAAAGGGACTATACATGCTCTCTGCCAATCCCTAGGTACCTTCCCCTCTTTCATACATTTATTAAACAAAAGTACCAACCACTCCAACACTATATCCCCCCTGCTTTTAACATTTCTGTCATGATCCCATCAGTTCCAGCTGATTTTACCCCCTTTCATTCTACATAATGCCTCACGTACCTCCACCACACTTACATTCTGCTCTTCTTCACTCCTAAAAGATGGTATACCTCCCTGGCCAGTGCATGAAATTACCGCCTCCCTTTCTTCCTCAACATTTAAAAGTTCATCAAAATATTCTCGCCATCTACCTAATACCTCCCTCTCCCCATCTACTAACTCCCCTACTCTGTTTTTAACTGACAAATCCATACTTTCCCTAGGCTTTCTTAACTTGTTTAACTCACTCCAAAATTTTTTCTTATTTTCATTAAAATTTCTTGACAGTGCCTCTCCCACTCTATCATCTGCTTTCCTTTTGCACTCTTTCACCACTCTCTTCACCTTTCTTTTACTCTCCATATACTCTGCTCTTCTTATAACACTTCTGCTTTGTAAAAACCTCTCATAAGCTACCTTTTTCTCTTTTATCACGCCCTTTACTTCATCATTCCACCAATCACTCCTCTTTCCTCCTGCCCCCACCCTCCTATAACCACAAACTTCTGCCCCACATTCTAATACAGCATTTTTAAAACTATTCCAACCCTCTTCAACCCCCCCACTACTCATCTTTGCACTAGCCCCACCTTTCTGCCAATAGTCCTTATATCTCGCCCGAACTTCCTCCTCCCTTAGTTTATACACTTTCACCTCCCTCTTACTTGTTGTTGCCACCTTCCTCTTTTCCCATCTACCTCTTACTCTAACTGTAGCTACAACTAAATAATGATCCAATATATCAGTTGCCCCTCTATAAACATGTACATCCTGGAGCCTACCCATCAACCTTTTATCCACCAATACATAATCTAACAAACTACTTTCATTACGTGCTACATCATACCTTGTATATTTATTTATCCTCTTTTTCATAAAATATGTATTACTTATTACCAAATTTCTTTCTACACATAGCTCAATTAAAGGCTCCCCATTTACATTTACCCCTGGCACCCCAAATTTACCTACTACTCCCTCCATAACATTTTTACCCACTTTAGCATTGAAATCCCCAACCACCATTACTCTCACACTTGATTCAAAACTCCCCACACATTCACTCAACATTTCCCAGAATCTCTCTCAAAAATTAATATGGAAATTAATATGCAAATTAATATGGCATCAATATTTTTTATTAACTTAGTACTTCCACCTGACATTGATAAAGTAATGTACCATATTTTCTGTCATAAAAGACACCATAATTTCAGAAGTCTTTTTAGAAAAAAAACATTTAGTTATATTATCATGTATTCTTCTACTATCATAGTTACATCAGCCTAGTACTGAAGACACCTGACAGACAAAGTGAAAGAGAAAGTGTGATGATAGAGTTAAAAACACTGAATTTATCAGTAATGTTGCCTGCAAACACACATACTATACACTCATGCACAGATCACAACAAAACTAGGACAGTTGTGTGGAGGGTAGTAGCATGTAGTGAAGGGTGGTGGTTTACTGTATTGTGTTGCTGAGGGTGTTGATAAGTTGTGAAATGATGTTGAGGGTAGAAATGAGTGATGGCCAGTTGGGGAAGATTGTAAAGTGTGGTAGTATGTTGTGGTTTTGATGTGCCAACATACTGTAGATGATTACAGAGTAGTGGCAGCTGTAGAAGGTTATAGCATAATGGCATGTTATGGATGTTTGTGGAGCATATATCACATAGACAGGTGTACTGTCTGACAGTATGCTATGGTGGTTGTAGTGTATAGTAGCATGTTGTGGAGGGTTGTAGTCTGACTGCATATTGTGAAGGGCTGTCAGATATAGGGGCATGTTGTTGAAGGATGTAGAGCATGGTGAGGTAGCATGGTGTGGACCTCTATATAGTACTAACATGTGACATAAAGAGAAATACATTCTTAAGGAATATGGTGCAACTTTTTCTTGCATGCTGTGCCACATGACTGGATCTGTGTCACACTGGTGGGATCTGCACCACATGACTAGGATCTATGCTACATGGCTGGGATCTGTGTCACATGGCTGGAATCTGTGTCACATGGCAGGGATCTGCATCACATGGCAGAGATCTACATGACATGAATGGGATCCATGCCACATGGCTGGGATCTGCATCACATGGCTGAGAGCCTACAGATCCATACTGCTCCCTTGTTATGGATTCATGTATACCAAATTATAGTACTACTAAACTGCAAATGGCAGCAGATTTTTCTTTTATGGTTTTAATTGAGCTGCTCTTCCCTAACAGGGATTAAACATGGTTCACCTCAGCCACTCCCATTTCTCTGATTTGTAACCCTCATGGGTTCAAAAGCATGATATATAAACAAACAGTAAATAAATAAATGACATTAAGAGGGTAGAAGGTGTCATGACACTACAGAAGAGCTCTATATCGAAGGAACTGGAGCCATCCTTCCTTCAAGAGCGATGGATCAGTGTTGATGAAGGGCTCTTGATCTAAGTTACTGAAGATATCCTCCCCATCTTTGGATTAAACCTGATTACCTCTAGCTTCTCAAGCTCTGTCTGACCTCTACAGGTTGTGCCCCACCATGAATATCCAGAACAAAATTAATGCATGACTATTACATGTTCAGTACTTCACTGTAAATATAAGAATAACAGAAATAGGAAGGAAATATAAACACATTACAGTATAATGTGATCCTTTATTGACAATGTTTCACCCACTGTGTGGGCAAAATGTTGTCAATAAAGAATCGCATTATACTGCATATGTGTTTATATTTCCATTGTGTCGGTATTTTATACCATTTATTTCCATCCAGAAATAGGAAGACTTACCAATAGCAGTAAATGGGACTCCCGGAGCACAGATCTCTATAGTTGCATCCCGGCACTGTCTTGCTGCCTCTACTAAGCGCTGACCTGCCTTATCAACATTTCCAACAATGTATGTCTCACAACAATCACCATGATAACCATTGTAGAATACCTATAAGTGCATTAAATGCTGTAATTATTAAGAAAATAATATATTAAGACTGTACATACAAGTAACAAGTAAAATATTGTACTCTATATAGAGGAGTGGCAAAATTAACCCTTTCAGTGGCCATCACATAAAACTACAAGACTGATTAGATAATTATAATTATAATCATGGGGGAGCACTAAACCTGTAGGATTATAAAACACACTGGGGGGGGATATGGAAGGTACAGTGGACCCCCGCATAACGATCACCTCCGAATGCGACCAATTATGTAAGTGTATTTATGTAAGTGCGTTTGTACGTGTATGTTTGGGGGTCTGAAATGGACTAATCTACTTCACAATATTTCTTATGGGAACAAATTCGGTCAGTACTGGCACCTGAACATACTTCTGGAGTGAAAAAATATCGTTAACCGGGGGTCCACTGTATTTAGGCTCAATTCAGGGAACTGGAGCACAGATCCACTTCCCTAGATCAAGAACCCCCTCACCAGCATCAAGGAACCTCCCTTGAGGGGGATATGACAATGAGACCAGGGTCTCGCATGTAGTTCTACGTCATGAGCTCAGCTTATTCAGGTAAGGCGTGAGCAGTAAATTTTGACCTAGACTTGAGAGAATGGGTGAGTGTGAACAGTATTAGAAAAATCCTGCCTCATGTGGTGCATGAAAAAAAACTCTGACCATGTGTTTGGTTTAAAACAGAGAGTTTGAATTGTTTTCTAGGATGATTTTTATGCTTTTACTGGCTGTTTCTTGGTATCTTTTGATAGAATGGAAGACATGCTACTGAAATAGGAGATGATTTTGATTGGTTTCAGACCGGAAGTAGCTTGAAATTGAGCTCAAAAGTAGCAGAAATATTTGATTTTTATTGATTTTCCCAAGGATAAGTAAGGATCCCTTACACCCCTCAATCTGTTTTATAGGTATGATTTAACTATTGGGACACTGTAAACCATGACCAATCATTCCTGGGTAAATTTTATCTTCTGGGATATAGAGTACATCTTCCATTTTTGTGTGATTATGAATTCAAAATGTAACATAGAAGAGGCCTGGGAACATGATTAATAAACAGAGGAAATATTGTTTTGGTGCCAAGAATGTCTACATTGTTTATTTTGCACTCTATTTTTTAAGTGGCATTTTTTAATTTTGTGTAAAACTGGCCAAATTACCAACTTCTGTGCACTTTATATTTGTATTAGTTGAATGGGCAGTTTCCTGTGCTCAATCTATAGAACTGAAGGCAACTAGTGAAATAACTAAGAAAGGAGTAATGGAAATGACTTAAAATAGGACTAAAATTTAGCAAATTCACTGGTGTAAATTGTACCCAGACTACTAATTTTGTGCCTGCATAATTGTGTAAGTTTTCCGTGAAATTTTATACTTTGGTGTCATTACCTCCAGAAAGATTCTCTACCATTTCAGAGGAAACAGTATTTAAAAAAAAAAAAAAGGACACTGGTAATAATATTAATTTTGGGGGCTGGGCAGTGAAAGGGTTAAAACAATACAGTTCATTACTATTTGCTTTAGAAAAACAGGCTCCAAGATACAATCAATTTGTTTGTAAATTGGCAAAGAGTGCTGCAACTTGTTTACTAGTTGGAAACCAATACGTATGTTGCACTTTTTCCAACATCCATATTATGTGCAGTGCTTCCAGCAAGTCTTAACCTAACACTTTTAAAAAAAGATTAAGGCATAATAACTGATAATGTACAAATTTGTTACCTATGTATGAGCAGGGACAAAAGCTTATTTTAAAATATACAAAAAATAAAACGGCAATGTGTACAAGCAACTAAGAAGAACTGGTAAAATAAATTCAGCTCAATATATGAATAATAACACATGTTATTATTTGAATAATAATTATTCAATAATAATAATAATGGAAATAATGAAAATAATAATAATAATAATAATAATAATAATAATAATAATAATAATAATCAGTAATGGATAAACAGAAGGGCAGATGGAGGTGTGAACTGCAGCCTGTAAACTGACAGTCTGATGTTCTATTTTCTCAACTACTTAGGCCTCTAACAGGAAAGATTTGGAGGTAATCCTTCCTTTTAGAGGCCTGGGTAGTTGAGACAATACAGAGTCGGACTGTCAATTTATGGGCTGTGGTTCACACCTCTCCCCAGTCACTCTTCTGTTTATCCACTGCCACTTGTGTATTACAACTTAATTTGAGTTCATAATCAGTAATAATAATAATAATGACATTAATAATGCTGCAGTAGAAATAACTATGAAAAAATACAGTATCATGATGAGCTATAGTTAACAAAAATAAGATTAATATATTTGAATATTACAGTACGTATAAATAAGGACACACAAATAACCCACACATAAAAGAGAGAAGCTTACGACGACGTTTTGGTCCGACTTGGACCATTTACAAAGTGACTTTGTAAATGGTCCAAGTCGGACCGAAACGTCGTCATAAGCTTCTCTCTTTTATGTGCGGGTTATTTGTGTATCGTTTCAGTCACGGTATTGTGCCTTTTTTGTTATTTATAAATAAGGACATTATACTTGCCGTAACATCAACAGATATAATATCCCCATCCACCAGCTGACGATCATCGGGTATGCCATGACAGGCTACATTATTGACACTGGTGCATACACTTTTAGGGAAGCCCAAATAATTCAGAGGTGATGGGTAAGCACCATTCTCAATTATTTTATTATGTACAAGTTTGTCAATGTCTTCTGTTGTTATGCCCACCTGAAAAATAAAATAAACTTGGATCTTTTTCCACAGATACGTTTTAAGAAATGTATTATTCTACATATACGTACACCTTTTTGCACGAGATTAGAATAATTTTTGAAAGACTGATTTTTCTTCACATTGTAAGTTGATGAAAATTAATGAATAAAATTTAAAAGAGAATATAAAAAGAAATGGGAAACTTATGTTTATTTACAAGAAAATACAATAGGTACTGCAAATGACAAAATTTGGACAAAATATAAAGACTTAAAGGGTATCTAAATACATAAAAAGTTTAATTCAGACTGGAATTTATCATTTTTTTAACATTTTTAAAATGGTCGACTTTCGTAACCTACAGACATTTTGGCATAAGACTAGCACAACTCATGTAGACTAATTCCCAATAATGGTAACATATGATATTCATCTTATGTCTGGTAATAATAATAAAAATTGAGAAGTTATTTTAAAAATATGGATATAAACATCACTCTCCATAATTTCATAATGATAAATTATTTACTGTACATTCAATATACACTTACCTATACTTTCCTGTGTTTCTCACTCCTGTAATATTTCCTTTCCAATTTATGAGACTTGGTCTGAGACCAGGCCATAAAGGTGATGACATCTGCAACCATTAGCAGATATAACAAATACGACAGATACTGCATTTAACAGTGGAGTACTAACACTGCAAACAGGTTTATTGATGTCATCTTAGTCAAGCGTTTGACCATTACTCAGGACGTATCCCGGAATGTCTAACATATTCATAAATGTTACCCTGCTCAAGAATCAAACCCAAGATTAAGTTACAAAAAGATGATTGATTTCTGAGAGTAACACCAAAAACACAGCCTCTATAAGAAGAAACTCTTTTGGAAGTATACAGCATTACACAACAATTCCTGAAGAAGGACTACACAATTTGTTAGTTTATACAGTTCAATTAAAGATGAGACATGAAGTGTAGATGTACAATAACACAAGCCAACAAGTGGTTTACCTGGAGTTTACCTGGAGAGAGTTCCGGGGGTCAACACCCCCGCGGCCCGGTCTGTGACCAGGCCTCCTGGTGGATCAGAGCCTGATCAACCAGGCTGTTGCTGCTGGCTGCACGCAAACCAACGTACGAGCCACAGCCCGGCTGATCAGGAATTGACTTTAGGTGCTTGTCCAGTGCCAGCTTGAAGACTGCCAGGGGTCTGTTGGTGGTACATTAATTTCATAGACATAAGGATTTTTTTTGCTAAAAGTATCTGAAATAAGATACTACAGTGATAAGCAGACAAACAGGTAGACAGATAGATAGGTGGAGATAACTGCACATGTGCATCCTCTGTTACTTACCAAATAAGCAACAAGAATGATATTACCTGAATATTTTCTCCAACAATATTGAGTACACTGCGTGCCAAGTAACAGGAGTCTCTCATAGCCTGCACTTGCCAATCTGCCTTAACTTCAGGAGAAGATGGGCTCAACGGAGGGTCTCCAGTCTGAGCATATAGTGGACAAGTTATGTGGGCAGGTACTTGTTGAGCTGTTGAAACTTCTCCGACACGATCAAGTACAGTGTAACTTCCAAAGTTAGCTCTAAACAGGAAACACAAGAACACATTTTTTTTGCAATAATATTCTTTTCTTCTTATACACTTAAAATACTGTACTGTAGTTAAACAGACACTATTGTACTAATAAAGGATTTAGGTTTCATAAGTGCCAAGGTAATTTATGTAATCAGTGGTCCTTGAATTACTCCAGCTGATCAAAAATTCTTTGTAATCTGCAATTATTCACCTGAACTCTCATTACACTACATTAAAAAAAATGTGATTTGAAATAAAAAATCTACAACATCTAAATATAGAAGATTATTTAACCATATTAATTTTCTACCCTTTATAGCAATCATTTTACAAGCTGCATTAAGTCATTCCCTCCCCCCCACAAAAAAAGAAAAAAGAATTTGAAGAATAAGTGGCTTCAACAATTTACTATTAACCCAGAGAAGAACCTTCAGATGGTGGTTTTGGCCTGTCCTGGACATATCAAATCACAACAGAAAGAGAAAGTGGAGAAAACCAAAAGACAGGTCAGGTGAAAATACCAAAAGCCAGGTCAGAAGAGGTAAGGAGAAAGTCAAAGTCGTGTCAAGTAAAGTGTGTTCTAAAGATTTGTGCACCTGACTATTTACCAATAAAGGCAAGCATCAAGTAAATAAAAAAAAGGGGGTCAAGATTTACCTTAGGAATGTTGCACATAAGGATCAATTCAACAAGCTGGCATCTGCAAACAGCTAATAGAGGATAGTTTAGCATAAGACCAGCTTATAGGATGGCTATGGAGTTTAACATGCCAGAAATGAGTGTTGCTAGTATCAGTAATGGAAGCACTTCTCTAGTGTGTAAAAAGTCTGCCAGAAAGGAAGCAATCTGCTTCATAATGTATGAAAGAGGGTAAGTAGACACTACAAGTATTGGTGGAAGAAGTCTCCTGCTGATAAATGTAGCGTTCCTACATATTAATGTATGACATATCCGAGGACCTGCTGGTGCTCTGCACCTTGGCTGACCAGTGTATCTAGGGGTAGGCAAAGGGTATTGGTTCCACTTCAGGGTTTCTAGTGAATTTTCATATATTTTTAATAATGACCACTATATTTCCTCAATATCTCTTCTTGCAGAGTTATTACAAATATTATATTTGGACTGGTATCAATGATTTACTCTATATTCCTTTAATTTTATTTTTATTAGTAAGGGGAAAATATATTTACTGGTAACTGCTTCTTGGTTTATTCTGGCCTGAGAGAACCAAGTGTACTTAGCAATCCACTGTTACAAAATTTCTTTCATTTTTTGGAGATGTGGAGTGCAAGAGTGCATTAATAAACAGTGAGATTTATTAGACAAACAATTTTTACACATAACAAGCTTACTGACTCCTTATCACTCTTGAATTTGTAACAGTTAATGAGGTGGAAATATAGTACTATTGCACTAAGCTGTTTTCAGTGTGTCTGGAATTCGTGTCTAGAAATGACATATGACACTGCTTGTGTAACAAGCTCTGCCAATATGAATTAATCTGCTTACCTAAGAAATGAATAGCAACAAATTATTACAGCAAAATATTATGAAAACAACTGTGGCATTAAAACAATAAGCCAGTACAGTGGTACCTTGGGATACGAACAGCTCAAAATTTGGACAATTATGTAAGTGCTTTTGTAAGTGTATTTTTGGGGGTCTGAAACAGATATCTGTTTACATTTTCTCATGGTCTCAAATCGTTCATAATCTGATACAATAGCCTTTCTAATGAAAAAATTTGTATCACCAGATACCCTGTACTGAACAAAAAAAACTGTATGTACAACGCAGTACTGCATGAAAACTAGTATTGTACAATGATAATAAACTAGTACTGTACAATAAGCCAGTACTGTACAGTGATAATAAACTAGTATTGTACAATGATAATAAACTAGTACTGTACAATGATAATAAGCCAGTACTGTACATTTATAATAAACCAGTACGTCATGCTAACAAAAATATTTTACCTACTTCTTAAAGATATCCCAAATGCCACGATTCTGCTGAATGTGTCCTACACATGGAACACTGCTGAGTACATTTGCAATGGGTAGTGGACTTAGAGTCATAACTGTCCCAGAAGGCAACAACACTGGGGAGCTGTGGCTGCAATGTAGACTCTTCTGGTCATGTAAGTATGACTTTCTGCCATGAAACTTTTGATGTATTTGAAGACACATATTGTCAAACTGTGTGTGTAATGACAGAACTGGACCCTGTTGACAGCATTTTGTCTTCCTCTTAATTTTGGCATCAATTATGGACTTTTCATGGACATCACCATAATCAATGAAAACTGTTCTAAAATCATCTGTGCAGGAACTAATTGACTTACAAGATTTAAGCCACTTAGGTTTTAAAAGTAGTTGAAAATTTTTATATGGTGATATATGTGGCATTATCTTAATAATTCTTCCAATCATGATTGTTACTATTACCTGGAGTTTACCTGGAGAGAGTTTCGGGGGTCAACGCCCCCGCAGCCTACATAGTGTATATAATGTCCACAAGCACTGCTTTACTGTACAAGTATTCTATGTGTTTGAAGCTGAAATGCTCTACTCTCTTGTAAGTGAAGACAAGAAATTACTTCACTGCTGAGCTATATGCTATTTAAATTTTCTTTGCTCTTAGTTATTTCTCTTTATGGGTGAATTCTTATTTATATTTAATTACAACAACAGTTGTTGTGACATGGCTAACTAACTTAAAGTATGAAATTGGTGGATTATTTACTTCATAATGGAAATAAAGAATAAATCTTAAGTTTCAAGCGGCATATCTCTAATCAAACTGCATGTGTTGGGAAGAAGTGGTAACCCAATGTAAAATATCAGGCATAATTCAGTCACTGAAGGATCTAGTTTCTGCTCATGTGCTTACACTCTGCGTCATTCTGCTTCACATGAATTCTATAGTAGAATTCAGGCTAAACACTTACCATGTTGTTAACATATGAAGTTTATTTTTACATACAGAATTCCGTGTACGATATTCTCGGTATATTGTAACTAATACTTTATGTATTAAAAGGAAAAATGTAGCATAAAATTAGTGATGCTAATGACAAAGTTAAATATATTTGCCACTTTTTGCTCTTTAGCTTTGTTTGAAAAATAAACATCCAGTAATTTTGCACTTTTTTTTACCAAGTTAATTTCCAGCTTCTAGCCATACAGGACCTGAAATATAGAGAAAAGGTATCTTTGGTGACATGGTATATTGCCAATAAAGAGAATAAAGACAAGCTGCAGAGCAAGTTTTTATTGGGATAAGGTTTTACTCTGCGTAGAGCTTTACTAAGTCACTTACAAAGCTCTACACAGAGCAAAACACTATTTCCATTAAAGTTAAATTACTTCAATTTGCATCTTTGTCTTCATACCACAAGTAACATTATATCATTATTTGAAATTTCCATGTGTATTACCATATATATTATGAACGAAACTATCAAATTCACAGCTTCAGACACTGAAAATATAGATCACCATCACTAAACATTAACCTGGTAGCTGTTTATTATGTTTATTAACATAAATACTGTTAATTTGTCTGGCAACCAATATTATTATTATTATTATAATAATCAAAAAGAAGCGCTAAGCCTGGCAACCAATAGACCCAAATAAAAATGTCACATTGACTTCACTGGGTAATTTCATACAATATTTGTTTATAAATGATAAATGATAAATCATAAACTTTATTTCTATGAAGTGTGGTGTACATTTAATTTGCAAAAGTTTTTTTTTAATACATAGGGCATTTCCCATCAAGACTGTGGTGACCCAATACAGAAGAATCACTTTGATCATCACTCCATGCTTTGGCATGCTGCTCTTACCTGTATGTTTTGTACCTCTGTATGTATGCTTAATTCTAATAAATAAATAAATAAATAAATAAATAAATAAATAAATAAATGAAGAAAAACTTTATAAAGGAAAGGTGATATCGACATTACAGAAGCCCCTGGTTATAGGGAAGTATTTAACCTGTCTAGGTCAGTGTCTGAGGAAGAGATGGCACTCAAGTTTGATCCAAGGAGTAGGGCAGGTTACAAGGGAATATAAGTGGGTGTGGTTAAGTGTATGTGGTCCTGCCTAGTATGGGCCAATAGGCCTACTACAGTGTTCCTTCATTCTTGTTCTTCAGACCAATTTCTTGAATCAAGAGCCCCTTACTAACATTAACGGCCCTCCATTAATAGGAATTCTTCCAATAATTATCCACTTCCTTTGATCAAGAGCATTTCACTGGCAGCCCTGGTAATGAGACTCCAATAAACATAACTCAAACTTAACTGAAGCAAACTCACTATTATTCCAAGCTGCCATAATCCTTCTCTTCTTTTTCAAGATACAATCACTGTGCCAAGAGGCAAGACTTGTCCTCTCTTCTGCCCATTAACCTTAATTATTATTCTTGTTCTTGTTGGAGAGTTATAGGACTATTTATAGTGTAGATGGCAGCAAGTTGTGCCTCCTGCTGCACCAGTAACAAATATTACCTTAAACTGGGAGATAAAACAAGACTAGATTATTATAAACATGGGGAGCGCTAAACCCGTAGGATTACACATCGCATGTGGGGGGATGGATGGTATTCAGGCTCAATTCTGGGAACCAGAGCAAAGATCCAATTCCCTAGATCAAGAGCCCCTCACATAGGTTATTATTATAATCAAAAAGAAGCGCTAAACCACAAGGGCTATACAGCGCTGACATAGGTTATCATACATAGCAACATATGTGTAGACAACTTAGGATAACTCAAAAAAAGGCAAAGTGACTTATTTCCACTGGGAGGCACAGAAATACATTTTACGTGCTTATTGGGGCTGTTAAGTCACCCAAGTCTACGTCTAATTTAGCCTTGTCTACCAGGAGTTCTGGCAAATTATAAAGGACACAAAGTTTCCCCCAGAAACAGAAATGGGAACAATCAAGTCTAAATTTAGTCAGGTTGAGTCCTGCCTGAATCCCGGCAGAGCCAGACACTAACACCTCAACACCACTCACAAGCTGATGTATCATCAGTCATATATAACCAATTACCCAGCACAATGTGTAATTATTATTATTATAATCAAAAAGAAGCGCTAAGCCCTGGATGCTGGTCTTTATCACACAATGTGTGATAAAGACCAGCATCCAGGGCTGACAATGTGCGAAATTCATCGCTGATGTAAGTTTATTGAAGTATAATAATAATAATAATAATAAATCTTTATTTCTACATGTACAAGTTATACAGATCATAACTGACAATAATGACATACTACTATATAGAAAGCCACTTGTTATGCTGAGCATTTCCCGTAAATTAGGTCAGTTTTGTCCCAGGATGCGACCCACACCAGTCGATTAACACCCAGGTACCTATTTTATGTTGATGGGTGAACATAGACAACCGGTGTAAGGAAACACGCCCAATGTTTCTACCCTCGCCGGGAATCGAACCCAGACGGTCGCTGTGTGAAGCGAGAGCTTTAGCCACCAACTGTACAGGTACATAAACCTGTACAGTTATCACACATAATGCAAATTACCAATGATGCTCAAGGTAAGCCCAGAGCAACATGTCAGCACCTACAGGCTGGGGCAGAGCTCATATTTTCCCTTGAGACACTTATGCAACTTGTCAGTTTTCAAAACCATTAATCACACTCATATTTTCGCGTTTCTTGTCCATGTTCTTGATTCCCCGAAAAAAAAAAAAAATCTACTTTTGTTCCTTGCTAGAGTTTATAGGGCCACCAGAGGTGACGCCGTATTGAACAATGTTTCACGGTGGGTCAGGAAGAATCATGGGTTATAACCCTAATATTATTATTATTATAATCAAAAAGAAGCGCTAAGCCACAAGGGCTATACAGCTATAACCCTAATAGAAAGTAGATTATTATAATAAAAAAGAAGCGCTAAAACACAAGGGCTATGCAGCGCTGCAATAGAAAGTAGAGCATTTCGCCCAAATCTGGTCGGTAATTAGGAAGGGTGCAAAGGTTCCCTCTGGGAATAGAAACGGGAATAATTGTTCTCAGTAGGTTAGGCTGACCCCTTCCCACAGCCTAAGTATTGTTGTAGAATTCCACCTGGTGGATTTTCTTTTTATTTTAATTATGGGGAAGTGCTTAACCCATAGTGGTCACATGGTCACAGTCAGGTTCGATCCAATGATAGCCAATTCTTTGGATCAAGAACCTTCCATTAGCATCAAAGAACTTCCCTGAGGGGGATTATTAAAGTTATGAGGGAGCACTAAACCCATAGGGGTCATACAGTGCCTCTGGGGCAATCAGGTTCATTCTAAGTAAGTGAAGGCCAGGTCCAATTCCTTGGATCATGAACCCCCTCCTTGGAATCATGGCACCTTTTTTGAGGGTGCCATGGATATATATTTCTTATATTGGGTTTAAAGGCTAAAAGTTGTAATTTCATTTTACTCATAGGGAAGCACTAAACTTGTAAGGGCAATACAGCACCTGGGGGATAGGAGGCACTCAGGTTCAATGCAAGAAAAGGGAAGTTAAGTCTGCTTCCTTGGATCAAGAGCCCCTTACCAGCATCAAGACCTCCCTTGAAGATTATTATTATTATAATCAAAAAGAAGCGCTAAGCCACAAGGGCTATACAGCGCTGCAGGGTAGGGAAGGAAGCGAGGGTATTGGATGGTAGAAGGGAGGAGGGATGATCAGTAGGTTACAGAAAACAGCGGGGCAGGGGATACTACGGGGGTAGAGGGTAGCAAGAGATTGAAGTAGAAAGGGCTGAAGGTATCAGAATTTGTGAAGTAAGTCAGTTGTTGTCAAAAAGTCAATGAGAGAGTCTGGATGAAAGGTGGGTCCATCAGCGAGAAGGGAAGGTAAAGAGAGAGCAGCGGAGCGAAGATGACGGAGGTAAATTCTGCGTGCTCGTTGATAAAGTGGGCAGTCCAACAGAATGTGGCAGACTGATAATGGAGCTTGGCAATTCTCACAGAGAGGAGCAGGGCGCCTCTCCATGAGATATCCATGAGTAAGACGAGTATGGCCAATGCGAAGACGGGAGAGAGTAGTCTCCCAACCTTGGCACTGGTGATAAGAAGACGGCCAGTAACCTATACTCGGTTTAATAGATTGAAGTTTGTTGCCGAGCATAGTAGACCAACGTTGTTGCCAACAGGTGTGAAGGTGGGAAGATATTGTAGCAAAATAGTCCGTATATGGAATACCTCTATATGAAACTGGTAGGTCATGTACTGCTGACCGCACAGCAGTGTTTGCCTGTTCATTGCCCTGTACGTCTACATGACCAGGGACCCAACAAAAAACTATCTTTATGCTTGGTAAAGATGCGGCATAGCCAAAGTTGGATACGGAGGACTAAGGGGTGAGGTGTATCAAATTTCTGTATAGCCTGTAAAGCACTAAGGGAGTCTGAGCAACCACAAATGATGACACAGGCATAGATGCAATACGGATAAGTGCTGAAAGGATGGCATACAATTCAGCAGTAAAAATACTAGCCGAAGATAGTAAATGCCCTCGTACGACGCTGTCCGGAAACACTGCTGCGAATCCTACGCCGTCAGAAGACTTAGAGCCATCTGTGTACACAGCAATGGCATGAGAATGAGAGTGGAAGTGGTCAAGAAAAAGAGAGCGGGAAGCGACCGTAGACAGTTGGGCTTTCGAGCAAGGGAGAGAGAAAGAACAGACTCGAACAGCTGGAACTTCCCAGGGGGTAGGGAAAAGTGAGATGCTACATGAACATAGAAAGGTGGTAATTGAAGAGAAGACAAGAGCGAATGAAGGCGAAGAGAGAAGGGACGGAGTAAACAGGGGCGGCGAGCAAATAAAGAATGTCTACTAATATCAGTGACCATTCTATAAATGGAAGGATTGCGGAGATCATGAGAGCGTACATAGTAGCGAAGGCAATGGGCATCACGGCGATCGGATAAGGATGGAACTTTCGCTTCTGCATAGAGGCTCTCGATAGGGGAAGAGCGAAAGGCAACAAGGAATAAATGTAATCCTTGGTGATGAATGGGGTTCAGGCTAGAGATAGTAGCAGGAAATGCTGCTGAATAGATCTGGTCACCATAATCAAGTTTCGATAAAATGAAGGTGGAATGTAGGCGAAGGAGGGTTCGACGATCAGCTCCCCATAAAAGATGAGCAAGGGTTTTAGGAAGGTTTAGCCAGCTGTGACAAGTTGCCTTCAGAGAGGTAATGTGAGGTTTCCAGGATAACCTACGGTCAAAGAGGAGGCCCAGAAACTTGACTGTATCACGTTCAGGGATACGGGAGCCATAGAGGTACAAAGGATGATCGGAGATGACAGAGCGTCTAGTGAAAGTAATTTGGTGGGTTTTAATGCTGGAAAATTTAAACCCATGTGTGGTGGCCCAATTGGAAACACGTTTGACCGCATGCTGGAGAGAAACTGTAATGAGGTGACAGTCAGCGCCTGCACAGGCAATAGCGAAGTCATCAACATAGAGTGATGACCAAATATTTGATGGCAGACTAGAGACCAAATCATTAATAGCAAGGAGAAAAAGTGTTGTGCTCAGAACACATCCCTGGTGGACACCTTCAGCTTGGATAAAGTCCGGGGAGAGCACATTATTAACCCGAACACGGAAATGCCTGTCAGTTAAAAAGTTCTTAAGGAAGGATGGTAGGTTGCCTCGAAGGCCTAAGGAGTGGGCTTGGGCTAAAATATTATACCTCCAAGTTGTGTCATATGCCTTCTCAAGGTCAAAAAATATGGCAATAACTGAGTGGTTATTCGCAAAGGCATTACAAACATACATATCCAAGCGTAGTAAGGGGTCTATGGTAGAACGTCCCTTACGAAAGCCATATTGACAAGTGGAGAGACTGTTGTGTGTCTCTAAATAACACACTAAACGTCTATTTACCAGGCGTTCCATTACTTTGCAAACTGCACTGGTAAGAGCAATGGGACGATAGTGGGAGGCTTCATGTCCCGTAATGCCTGGTTTGCAGAAAGGGAGAACAATGGCAGATTTCCACAGCTGTGGAAGAACTCCTTGTGACCAAATAAGATTGTAAAGGCATAATAGGACTGCAAGGACTGACTGATGTAAATGTTGTAGCATACGAATATGAATGTCATCGGGCCCAGCTGCCGATGATCGGCAAGCTGAGAGTGTTGCCTCCAGTTCTTGAAGTGTAAAAGGCACATTATACTGTTCTTCTCTGAGAGAAGAAAAGTCCAAGGGTGCTAACTCTCTGGCAGACTTTGAGGAAAGAAACGAGGGGCATAGATGGAGTCCCTGAGAAATATGGACCAGATGATTGCCAATTTCATTGGCAACATCTAGTGGTTTGCTATATCAACACCGGCAACCCACAGAACAGGAGCCGGGTCAGGAGAATATTTACCACTCAGTTTTCGTACTTTTTTCCAGACTGCACTCATAGAGGAAGCAGAGGTGATGGTGGAGACATAATCTCGCCAGCAAGTGCGTTTAGCGTCACGGATGACACGGCGAGCAATCGCACGCTTCTGCTTAAAATCAAGAAGTCTCTCCGTGGTTCTATTGTACCGGTACCTGCCCCATGCAGCGCGTTTCAAACGTACTGCACGAGCACAAGCAGGAGACCACCAAGGCACGCATTTCTGAGAATGCCTGCCCGAAGTTTGGGGTATACAATTAGAAGCTGCGGTTAAAACGGGGGACGAGAAGAGGTGTAAAAGCTCATCGATGGAGGACGAAGAAGGAACCTCTCTAAAAACAGATGTGAGTAAAGGTTCCAATTTGCCTGATCAAATTGCCAGCGTGGGATGCGAAGAGGTGGTGAATATGAAGGGGAAGTAACAATGATTGGGAAATGATCGCTGTCATGTAAGTCCGGGAGAACAGACCAAGTGAAGCCTAATGCGGCGGAGGAAGAGCAGACTGAGAGATCGATGCAAGAGAGAGTGTGAGTCCGAGGATCAAAATGGGTGTGAGTACCTGTATTTAAAACATGCAGGGGGTGCGTGGCAAGAAAAGCCTCTAACTGAATACCACGGGAATCACAGTGAGACCCCCCCAAGAGGAAGCGGTGGGCATTAAAATCGCCAAGTAACAGAATCGGTGGCGGTAATGACGAAACAAGAAAGGCAATATCAGGAATAGATAATGCCCGAGAAGGAGAGAGATATAAAGAACAGAGCGTATACCACCTATGCAAGTGGATACAGGCTGCTGTGTAATGCAGCGAGGTACGAACAAATAGCTGATGGTACGGAATATCAGTGCGTAGAAGAAGGGCACTTTCATTAAAGGTCCCATCAGGAAAAGTATCTGAAGAATACAATAAATTATAGCCTGAGATGGGAGAGATAACAGCAGAGTCTAATTTTGGTTCCTGTAAGCAAACGCCAACAGGGGAAAACTGGGAGAGTAACATCTGAAGCTCACCCCAATTACCCCTGAGGCCACGTATACTCCACTGTAAATAGGCCATGATTGGCAATGATAAAGATACCTGAAACCCGCAGGTAAGGGTTCCTACGGACTAGAGGGGTTAGAAAAGTCCACATGCGGAGGCAGTGGAAAATGTTCAAGCAGTGAAGGAACGGTGCGCTGTGAAGAAAGGAGTTGCGCAGATGGAGCAGAGGAGAGAGAAGGAACGGAGGGTGGATCAGTGTCCATTGATGGTTTGGTCTCTGCAATATATTCAGAGATTGCTTCAAGTGTTTCGGAATTCAGAGA